TCACGGGACTCCGCACTTGTAAACAATCGCTCCATTGGGCTCGCACCGCTCGCGCGGCTTTCGGTTCCGCCCAGAATTGTCAACGATACCAGGCCGACCAATCACAGAGCTTGCGCTACGCGTCGTTGCGACGTGTAGTTACATTTTTTGAGAGGTACACATTAGCGACGCTGAAGGCCACGGTGTAGGGCTATGCATCAACACCGTAGCATACGCGTGCGTTTGACACAGAAGTATAAATCTGCCTTAAATCAGTCTTCACAAGTAACGCGAGTTATGTAATAATATTACTTTTCAAAGTAACGAGTAAAGTAATGCATTACATTTTTAAAATTAAGTGATGAGTTCCGTTTTTTTTTTTTTTTTTTATGTAACACAAGTTACTTTTTAGTTTAGTTAATTCACCTTTAAATAATAATAAATACCATGAAAGTCCTGAAAGATTTCAAGCCTCAGCCAGGTCAGAAAAAATAACTCAAAAGTAACATAACACATTACTTACCATAAAACTCAACTAATTACTTTTTTGGAAGTAACTCAAAATTGTAAAACATTACTTTCTAAAGTAACTTATCCCAACATTGATTATGGCACATAAATGAACTCAAACAGTTTGTAAAAAAAAAAAAGCTACATGTTTTGTTTTCTATTTGTCTGAACTGCCAGGACACAGCAGAAAGTAAACAACAAGTAAATTAAACAAAAAGAATCTACAAAGTGAAAATTGATGTCACTTTTAAGGTGGTGAATTTAGTTAAAACATAAATGTATACAAAACAGAGCAAGCCTAAATCACAAAATGCAAACAAAATGCAAAAAAGTGTGACAAAACAAAAAAGAAAAAACATGCAAACAACACAGAAACACTAAACAACTTAAAAATGCAAAGAAACAAGTTTAAAAAAAAGCAAGCACAAACCAAAACTTTTAATATAAAGTACAAAACACAAAATGCAAACAAAACCAAAAGTGTGAAAGTGCGCAAACAAACAGACACAGTTGACTGTGATGAATTCTCAATATTTAAATTTAAGCACTACATTTCAATCATAGCATCCACTCCTAATTTTCACAGTTTAATCCATAAACAAGACAGCTGGACAGACAGGAAGATAAGGGGTTCAGGGGGGCACCAGAGGGACACGCATGAAAGAACATCCAGCAGGTCAAAACAAACTTGAGCATTATGGCCAAGTCCAAGAACACATGAGATCCTTCAGCTCCCTGCTTCAAATTCCTCCATTTTCCTTTCACTCGCTGTTTTCCCCCCTTTGAGCAGATTTATAAGGCGAGTGACTGGCAGCTCTTTAATACAGTTCAGACCTCGTGTTGTACAAGAGAGCAGTATTTTCCTCTCTGCTTTCCAAAGAGCACAGGAGTCATCCAGCCCTGCACCAAATACACCAGGGCAGGGCACACACAAAGCTGAAGTCAAGTCATGTAGACAAACTCATTCAGAGTAATCAAATTGGTTACAGTCATCATTAACAGTGCATTTGTACGACTCTGCCTAGCACAAAGCTGTTCAGCTTGCTTTTCTACTGCAATTTAAAAGCGAGTGGGGTTATAGACCTCTTGTAGCTTTGTCTCCTCTGTTGAATTATATTACGACAGAAATTAATGCACAAAAACCTGAAGCACATTTCCTTCTGCATCGTTCCATCAATGCTCTCCTCGACTATCAAGAAGAGGAACGTCTGTACTTCTACTGCCCAAGATACAGCCATTTTATTGTGTTTATTTAATTAAAGGGTTAGTTCACCCAAAATAAAAAGTCCATTACTAATTACTCAACACTCATGCTACAGAACAGAAATTAAGACTTTAGATGAAATCCGAGAGCTCTCTGAAACCTCTATAGTCAGCCATGGTGCTGAAATGTTCAAAGTCTAGAAAAGGAGCCAAAAACATGATTAAAACATTCCATTCGCCTTGTGTGGTTCATCTGAAATCACATGAGGCTTAAAGAACACCTTTGCAGCACAAAAAAAGGCCTTGCTTGAAGGCAGACATACCAAGTTGGGAAAAGTCATTTCCGGGGAAGACAGTGAGGATTTGAGGGAGGTTGCAGAAGAGTGGGTGCCTAAAGGGGGGGTGAAGACCGATGGGGGCGTGTGCGTGCGATGTACCATAACCGTACGTTCACACCGAAAATGTAGTTACGCAGAGAACAAGTATTGAACGCATGAAGAAAGGGAGGCATAGAATGGCAGTGAAAGCCCAGACAGCAGCTGAAATCTCTCAGTAGTATTCAGCAACCCTTTGCCCGTCCTCTGTGTAAATTAATATTAACTGTTTCAGTCTAATACTACATTAGCAGGAGGATGGAGATGAAACCAGGGTGGACATTTCAGCAAGACAATGATCCAAAATGCTTTCAGAGAAAGAAAATTATGCTGTAGAATGGCCCAGGCAATCACCTGACTTGAACCCAACAGAGAATATAAAGATTTGATAGATGAGACCCAAAGAACCATCAATATTTTTGAATCTTGTTAAA